GGCTTCTGCAGCTCATATGGTCGATTAGAGGTTCAGGACTTCAGGCAAAGTGGGTCTGGAGCACAGCCCCAGTTCAATGCCTGACTGTTCTGCCCATTTTGCAAAACTTTTTTTAAGAAGTTTCCTACATGCAATGGCTTGCATGCAATAATGAAGCCATAAAACAAGAATACAGGTACCAGAGCTTTATTAGATGTTTCACTGGATACAAAGAAACTGGATTTGTATTACTTTTTTATACATTAAATACACATTCTGGTCATAAAAATTCACATTTGTTATACAGAACTGTAGCCATGTTTTTACACAACATTTATTAAAGTACCATTGAACAGATCCTAAAAAGAGAAGGTGCAGCTCTGTGAACCTTTATGGGCACAACACACAGGGAGCTCTACGTCCTCAGTGCTACATATCTACCCTTCCCACAGAAATGGAGTAAAGTCATTCAAATGCATTAATGTTTGGAATAATAAGGCTTCTGTACAGAGAACCTGAACAGGATCAGGAGGCAGTGCAGCAATAACATTGTAATCATCACCTYGTGTAATTGCAAAACCACTCACGACTGAGGAAGTCAAAAGCTTAACATCTGTCCTGACAAGACCAGCTATTTCTTCTTTTAAGTTATATTTTTAAGCATGCATTCTTGCTTTCAATAACAATAATTACACATTAAACCTAGGATTCTGCTTTAAGGATTCCAGTTTCATACCCAGTTTTGCTAGCTTTCAACCTGACAAAAAAAAACAACAACAAAAAAACCCACCACCAACAAAAAAAAAAAAACAATTTGCCAGTTTCAAGCATTTCAGCTGCTCTAGAAATCTTTGCAAATCAAATTGACTTTGTTGGGACCCTAAACAGAGGGAAGAGAMTATAACACATCATCACACTGCAGAAAAGTAGCCTAAGTGAATTGCCCTTTCTCCGTGAAAAGCATTTATTGGCTTATCATCCAATCCACTTCTAACATGGAATGAGGGTATTTGCAACTAAATTCTCCCCAGCCCAGGCCAGGACTAAGGAGGCGCATGTACACAGCTTGGAGTATGGAGGTAAAGCATCTCAGGACATCAGATAAGGGAGTCTGCCCCCATTTGCCAGCTCTGTAGTCAAGATCATCTTACACAGAAGTTACAGATTTTGTAGATGGCTTACTGAAGTATAGTGTGATCAAACTAACAATATTTTGAGCACAGTGCTGCTCACACCTCGCAGTGAAGGGATGAGTAGGCAGCAGCACAGACTGTGATAAGGAGTTAAAGGAGAACAGTGGGCAGATGTTGTATTTTAACTAGACAAAGACAATAGAACAGCGTGTGAAATCGCACTTCTCTTTACCCTGAACTGCTGCTCACGTGGGTCTGCCTGAAGCCAACCTCGCCTAAAAACAGGCATGCACTTAGGGCAGGCACGCTCGATGCAACCTTGTCCAACAGGTACGAGGTAGGCTCTTCCCATGTTCTGTATTTCTTTCCTAGTTCCCTTTGTCATCAAGCAGAGGCACCTCACATGCACACCATGAGGGGAGAGCTAGGTCTGGCTGTGAGAAAGGTAGAGGGGTCACATCTCTGGGCAATGCAGAGCACTAAGTCTTGCAAGCCTCTGAGAAATTATTACTTACATATATATATATATGTATTTTTTAATTAAATCATCYACATTTCCTTAAAGCAGAATGCTAGTGGCCAGGCCATTAAACCTCAGCTACACCTGATTTCTATTTAAGAAAAGAGCCTGGGTTGGAACAGAGTTCAGAGCTTTTGCTGCAAGCTCCCGGCTGCGCTGCAGCGTGGGGCACGAGCAGTATTGCACTGCATCCAAGCACCTCTGCAAAGCCAGGGCACCATGCCCTTAGTGTCACTATTGTATCTCCATAGAGGGATTTTAGGCCCTTCATTACATAAACACAGTTCCCACTGGCATCAACATAGGTTGTGTGGACACAGAACTAACTTCTCCTGTATCACACAGAAAACCAGGTCTTTATCGACACGTACAGTCAAGGTAGTTCATTGTACAAACACGCTGTTCTTAATCAATCTATAAATGAGCTTCAAATAAGAACAAATTTAACTTCTTGCTGCCAAAAGGCAGCTGTATGAACAATCTTTAGTCGTGTTTGAAATCTGAATTCATAATTATGGGATTTAAACAAATTATGTGAATGCATTAAGGCAGGTTACATAACTGCCCTTTTCCTTTAGGATTAATTATTATTTCTTCATACATTGTAGACAATCCATACTCCCATACATACACACACCTACAAAACAGCAGCACGGTAAAAACTAAATAGATCACTGAACTCCAACAAACTTGTAATCAATACATTGTACATACTATACAGCATATTTTAACCTCATCATTTGGTAAACATATACAATTCAGAACAATGCTGACTCTATGTAACACAGAAGCTACCACTGAGATATGGCAAATACATCATAGACACTATTAGCTTTTGCTTCACTGAAAAGGAATTTGGAAGTTTCAAATGGTGTTAATTGAACTCTTGAAAWCGCCCAATAACCTATTCAGTTACTAATGCCTAATGCTCCGTACACTACATTCAGAATAAATAGCACTGGAGCTATGTTTTCAGGGCACTCTGTTGGGGTTTTTTTTTTTTTATGTTTCGCAGTTAATATTCAAATTTTTTAATTTCTTTTGCAACACAGCATAGTTACTGCACAGTGACTATCTGCTCCCTCTCACTCCAGCATAAACCTTCAGTAACTGCTTTGAAGTTAGTGAAAATGGTCTGGATTTCCATCAGTGTGACAGAAAGTCTTAGCTCAGCACACAGGATCACACACTCCCTCTCACGCACCCAGGCATATAGACACACACATATATATACTTTAAAAGAATGGCTTGATATAGCAGGACCTACAAAACTACCAGTATAACCAAGAGTAAATAAATTTAAGTAACTCTCTGATTCTAAAATTAGGTTCCTTCAGCCTCAGCTTTTACTTTCACATAGATGGTGGGAAACGGGACTTCTGGGGACAGATGCTATTTTGGTTCAAATCAGTGTAAGTTGATCAGAATCAAAGATTATTGAAGAGACTCTCCGCTAACATAAATCAAAATATGGAGCCATACAGATTTATACCAGCTAAGAATTTGCTCTACTGCCTTTRTACGGTGCAATGCAGTTTAAGTATAAGATTACACAAGATGGCTAGGAAGAGGTATTTTTCCTCTCATCAACTGATTACAATAATCTGTTTTTTCATACAGGATTCCTCATAATACATCTGTAGAAACTCTCCGAAAGGAATCAGGTTGTATATTTAATCTGACCCAGTCTTGCAGACCAATTGGGCAAGCATATTTCTTGATGAAATCAATGAGAGTTTTAGCTGCATAGGGATGACAAACTGGGGCTCTAGAATGGCCCAGTTGTGCTGCATAGTCCTTGCTGTCTTGCTCTTTTCTGGCAAAATTTCCCAGATTGTGTCAACYGGAAGCACACCCTACTAGGATAGTTCAATTATAGTTTTGGTGTCTCAGAGATGAGACTGCCAGAAAAGTGTAGATAAACCTCTCATCATAGGTTTTTCTTTTCTTTCATTTTTTTTTTTTTTAGTAATTAAGGCAGTGAGGAGTAATTTTCTTTACCTGTTCTCTATAATAAATTGCTATGCTTCTCCAACAGAAAGGAGACTGACAGCTAAATAAAAATATCATTTTTCTACGCATTTTCTTAACATTTTTCCTTATTTTTTTCCCCCATTAATGGAGAAACTACAGGATTTTTCTACTATCCTTCTTCATAGAGGATTTGTTTTTGCTTTTATTTTCCAGCACCTAAATGACAATTAGAATACAGCTGATACTAAGCAAACATTCCAAAACAATGCCAATAAGCTCAAGATATGAGATGGCATTTTATATATATTCATACACAGGCACACAAATGCACACACTTCTGTTAAATACAGCAAAACATTTGCTTTGAGCACACTTTTGTCTAAGTGAAAAGCTTGATATGTTTGGTGTGTGCTTGAGCCAGGGCTTCAAGGGGGAGCTCTGTGTTGTTCACCTCAGATTCAGCAGAATTTCGATCAGAATCCAAAATTAGAAACCATTTTTCTCCACACATTTTCAGTAATATTCAGATTATTTTGACATATTATAGGGAGCTTAAATGTTTTGACTACATTTAAGTAACTGAAGAATGACAGGAGAACCTGAAAGCAAAGCCAGCTAAGAATGAAAAGATCTTTTCGTGCCACACCTCTAAGAAATAAGCAATCATTTTCATAGATACCCATATAGAAGAAAATGTACTGCTTCAGGAACTGTACAAAATACACAAGTTTCCAGTTTGCACAAAGAAAACATAGGCTGTTTTGTTTTGTGTGCCCATTACATGAATTTTCCTTGGACATAACATGGCAACTGAAAATAAAGTGCATCACTCCCTTCAGCTCCTCCCACCCCAGTATTTTGCTTTGTTGTGGGTGAAAGCACCAAATCCTAGCCTTTTTCAATGCAAAGATCCAGTGTGACAAGGCGAATTTTGGAGTCACTTTGAGTCAAGATTTTAATGCTGTAGAAAACCGAACTGGCAACTGGCTTGGATCACAGATTTCGCTGAGGATGAATCTTACAGTCCTAAGCTCTATGTTCATGCACAAAAACAAACACAAAAAAACACTTCTAATGAAGGGGGCATCATAACTTTGTAACACTTGCACTATTTTCTTTAACCACACTTAGAATACTCTGGTCTAGAGCCAGAGTACTATTAAGCAAGTGTGCGTGGACATCTTTGTAACACATCCATACCTTTAAATGTCTTTCTAGTTTACGCACATGCATACACATGCACACTCTTTCCAATGCACACTCTGTGTTCAATATAGCAGCAAATGTTTATTTTATTCCACTTCTACATAAACTTTAAAAAAAAAAAAGTTGCAAAAACAAATAAGAAAAGCCCAACTCTTTGATGAGACCATTTTTGTTTTTCTATGATCTGGAGCTGTTTGAGCTGGCAGTCCTTACTGACTGATGGAAAACAGCAAGGGATCACAACATATTCTCTCCCTCACTCAAGCAAGAGTTCTCATAGTATCAATGGAACCTGACCTCAGTCTTGTCCTATAAAGCCCTGCAGTATTTCAGGGAGCATTTTCCTTGTAAGATGTTACAAKATCTCTCACTTTCCATAAACGAAATGTTTAGCTTTCAGAGACTGTGTGCATACACATTGATATATCAAATACATGACTGCATTGTATCCAGTTAGGGGTCATACAGTGGCAAGGCTCTCATTTTACAGCTCACTACATTTTCCATATATTTGAGTTTTATATGTTTCATCAAAAGTAAAGTGAAAGAAATTCTGTCACCAGAACAGTGCCATACAGTATTTCCAGGTATTTCCAATCATTCRATTAGGTCTGTTATTTCTCATGAACAACATAAGGACTCTACTTAATATTATTAGCTAGATATTGAACTACACCACTCTTTAGTACAGTATTTTTTCACTGATGAAATTGGCACTGATTTTTTTCTTTGTGRTCAGTACAGTTTGTAGCTGCCTTCAAGAGAAGCTCAGACTATACTTCTTGTTTTGAAGTGCAGTGTTAATCCTGTAGAACACACATTTCCAATGTAAGACCAAATCCTGACCCTTACAGAGCACACAGATCCCAAGTCACATTCAACAGAGGAAAAATTCCTATTAAATGCATTGCACAYAGGATCAGACTCATGTAAGATTAATCCTGAGAGGGAGTGGTGCTCCAAGCCAGCCTGACTTTATTCCTGCTGAAACCATGTAAAACATGCAATGGCAGCACTTGGTACAGAGTTAGGCTAGCAGTACGTAACTGCTGACTTTACACAGGGCAGAGACATTAGAAAACCCCACTGCAAGAATGAAAAGCAAGCAGGATTTAGTCTGTGCAAGCTACATAACACATCATGTGTACTGTCCACTGATTATGCATATGTTGGAGGCATTACTTTTTATTTATTTCACAAAGGTATTGAAACCTGCTGCTCATTGATAAATACAATCAGTTACACCACCTGACGGATGAAGTGTAGCAACTCAAAATTTTAGGGCTACATATACTGTCCTTAAATTCCCAGGGTGATGCTCACACCTATAGGAATTCTGCTGTGGGCAGAGAGAGGGCAGCATACATCTCACTGCTCTGAATGCTGCAAATTTCTTGGCACTGTTCATAACCGTAGAAGACATACGAATCACATTTGGTACCTCATGGAAAACATGTAAGTGGCCTTCTTTTATCAAACACTGTAAACATGTTTAGTTTTGCTCTTTACCTGAAACACAAATGTAAAAAATGATCATAATTGATTAAAACATTTTCCCTTTGCCCACCCACTAACGCCTTAAACACATCAGTGTTTTAGGAAGATCAGTGTTTTACATGATAATTCTTTAAAATGTAATTTCTCTTTTAATTCTAAATAATGCAACAACAAACATATAATACTATCAAGTAGTGTCATCTTCACCTTCATCCAGGGCATAGTTGAGGTTTATGACTGTGCTGATAAAGTCACCAAGTTCTACAAAATCTGCAGTGATAATATTTACACCACTTTCTCCTGGTTTCTGAGTTCGGACCCACTGCATCATTGCAGGAAGAGCTCTAAGGAGAAAACAGAAACAGTAATTACTCATCTGCAGTGCGACAAATGCATTGAGATTTACTAGTGGTGACCTTATCTTATCTTACTTGGTTTCTAAGAGAAATGAGTACAGAAGGACACAAGTTACTACCAGTACTTTTGAAAATCCTATTCTTTATAATTTTCATTCTCTATGGGAAGAACATGTTGATTGTCTGACCTTTATGTTATACTTTACTATGGAGAAGCTGAAATACAATTTCACAGTGACTGCTGATCTTGTTTTAGGGCAATGGAATGGACCAGATATCTTTTCAGTATCATCCAGCCACATGATTTCATGAGAGTTGTTTCAGGAAAAGGAAATCATAAAGAATTCAAGACATTTGGAAAGCATGTTTGTTGTATTCTAAGAAAGACTGAAAAATCTTTTTTAGAGACACTCGAGCAACTATGATTTCTATCATATAAAAACAGCAGATGCCGAATATAATATCTTTCCCAGGATCAATATCCCAGGCTTGAATTATGTTTCTTCATAAAACACTGATTAGTAATTGAAATMAAAAACAACACAGTCAAGTTGAGTCTTTTCTAAAACAGCATATTTTTATCATATCAGACTTCCAGCACTGCGATAATGGAGTATATTTGGCATATTGCATTGGCGTGTACACTAGCAGGTGTCTGCCTGTTTGGGTTTGTGAATATGAAAAAAAGTCTTTTGAATACCATGAAAATAGAAAACAAGGTTCTAGAATCATCCATACAAGAAAAATGCATGGGAAAACAAAGGGTTCTKTAGTTCTGTAGCAGAAAGTCACAAAATAAGATACAATGTTCAGAAGACAGAAGTTCACAGAGCTCAAAGTAACGTACAGATTTTTCAAAGAAAGGCTAGTTGACCATTGGAACAAATTCTTAGAGACTGTGATAAATTTTGCAGCATTTGGAGTCTTTAAATCAAGCCTTGCTGTCATTTTAAAAATACACTCTAATACACACAAGCTGTTGAGCTAAACGCAAGCAGCTACGGACTGCAGAGTGAAACAGTCAGGCTAGATCAATAGACTAGACTAGAATCACAGACTTCCTTTGCCCTAAAACCTGTAAATCTGTGATTCCCTCTTGACCTTCAAGTTGTACAGACTGGACAACKGGGTGGTGAGAAACGATATGAAATTCAATAAGGGCAAGTGYGGGGTCCTGCACTGGGGGAGGAATAACCCCAGATATCAGTCCAGGYTGGGGACTGACATTCTGGAGAACAGCTCTGTAGAGAGGAACCTGGGCGTCACAGTGGACAACAAGTTGACCATGACGCAGCAGTGTGCCCGGGTGACCAAGGTGCATGAAGAAGAGCCTCTCCAGCAGGTCGAGGGAGGGGACCATCCCCCTATACACAGCCCTGGTACTATACACAGCTCAGAAAGTTTGAAAACTCCACCGTGCTTTCACATAAAAAGATATTGCTGAACCCTTGAGAAAGACGCAAGCGTGAACTTGTAAGACTGCAGCATTTTCCTTTGTCTTCAATACCTTATTTAAACACAAAGAGTTTCAGGTTTAGGGATGAACTGACTGACTGTAGACAGATACAGATGCCTCCTTCCATTTTCTACATAAGTTGATACCTTGATATTTTACTCCCCCCTGAGACATGATTATTTTCTTTGGTGTCCTCTATTTGCTCTACATCAGATTCTGATGCATTTCTTTCTTTGGACCATATAGTTTGCTCTCCACACATTTAACCCTATACATTGACATACTGTTGTCTTTTTCTACTGCGTTCTTACTAATCCAATATTTAACAGGGATAGTCATGCCTCCTCCATGGTATTTTAAACTTAGTGTGCCCTGCCATGGAACTCTCCAAATAGTCTCAGTTGATAAATTAGGATATCTACATTTTATTTATACTTCAAACAGAACTTAGTTGTGTTCAAACAGAACTCCAAACGTAAATTGCRAGATGGAGTCACAGAGATGTTTTGTTCAAGAGAGCATTCAATGATAAGAGGCAAGTGAATCAGATTATCCAACAAAAAGCTTATTTACATAGCAAAGACCAAGAGAACAGCTCTGTAAAAATATAAATACATGAACAAAAGAATCCACTGACCTCAAGGACTTGGTTAGGCTATGCAACTCTGCTTAGGACAAAGATTTACAATAAGATAAATAAATAAAAATACACYATACACGTCTTCCTCCCACAGTGCCATCTTGAAAGTCAGTCGGTATCTGTGATTTTAAGACACCACAGATTGCTCAGTTTCAGTGCAAGTATCTCACACACACTAACAGCCATTATTAGAATAAGCCTACTTTAATGATCCCCAGGGTGTATTTGTGATAGCAGCACAAACCCTGTTCACCCTTCCTTGTAATTTCCAGTCTCTGCATGCTCCAAACCAGTAACTGTTCTCATTAAGTGTTTTAGTCAGCAGAACACAGATCATGCTGTGTGACAGCCACCTACATGACTCTGTGCTCACAGAAACTCAGTAGAGACCATGCTGTTAATGAATATTCCTGTGATTTTGATAAACATGACTTTGTGCATGAGCATATGTAAGTCTCTCAGGCTGGAAACTCAGACAAGCAGAGCATCCTGACAGCACCACTTTCTAGTGCTCTCCTAGGCAGGTCTGGGCTCTCCTGAGGGGTGACTGATATCCACGCTTAAGGGCCTTCCTGGGGCTTTGGCACCARGGGGTCTCGTTGACTCCAGAAGGGCTGACATTTCAGCTCAGGTAGACAGCCAAAGCTAGTGATTTCTTCCTTTATGTGAAAGTAATTCTGCAAAATTACAGTGGTRTAGTCATCCTGTAACTACATCCACAACTGCATTGTGCTGGTATAACTAGTTTTCATAACAAAAGAGCATCACACTGGTGATAATAACAGTGATGCCATTTTTGGAATTGCATTTAGGGCAGGCTCCAGGTCTCCTTATGGCACTGAGCAACCTTAAGCCTTCTAGCTCTCCCATGCCCTAGCTGACTTGGCTGTAAAGTGATGTGAGGAAAGCATGATGAGTTAATCAGAAATCCTCCTTGCCTCAGACATGTGTTGGGAGATTTCATTACCGGGAATAAATGTTCTGAAGTGCATAATAGATGAAAAGTACAATGTTAGCATGAGTGGCACAAATTAASAGCCAGGCAGCTGAAAAATCTGACATATGCAATGAGTAATAAYTTTTAAAGGCCTCAATACTGTGAGGCCTTTAAAAATTATTTATGTCTGTTCTATCCCACAGCTGCAGAATCCAGTCATTGCAATGGAACTGCATGCCAGGACTGAAGTTTTCACAAAGAATACATTTCTGTCTCTTAAGGGGTGAGAAAAATCCCCTTGAAACTTTGAACAAGGTATACTGGACCGTGCTACTTGCCTTAGCCTATAGGCACATATAAGAAGATACATTAACAGCAAATTCTAAGTGAGGAGAAAGACAGAAGTCTCCTTTTTTCATCTTAATAATTTACACACCTGGTCTTACCATCATTTTCACATTATTGTAACTTCTCTGCACTCAGAGGAGATAGGCCAGATTTTACACCAAGCCAGACCAGCACAGGTTTCTTGGACAAGGTACAGAGAACCGACCTGCAAATAAGGATCTGTATTTGCGTCATTTTCTGCTCTTGCTTAGCACTAGAGAAGGGCTAATAGTTGGAGCAATACAAAGCAGGAAGTCACAAAYCTGAGGTTTTAGCAGTGGAGGAAGGTTACTCTGCGGGGAAGCGGAGAAGGACGAGTATCTGGCACTTGCTGCAGACTATGCTCATTAATCTTAGAGAAACATTTTTCTGTCCTCACCTTGGTACCTTGGCTGCCTCCCGGGCATTAGCTTCTCTCCTGGAGAAGCAGCACGTGATCTGCTCACACTCAGAGCTCCCTGGGAACAGCAAGGTCACCGCCTGCTGCTCCTCTCACAGGAGGTTGAGAGGACAGAGGAACAAGAGAGATATGAATGGCTTGACAAGGGAGGGACAGGTCAGACGGGCTGCCACGCAGCACYAACTCATCTCTACATCTTCTCATCTCCACAGGACAGATCCACCTGCGTGCTCCAGYGCTGCTCAGCAGCCTCGTCCAGAGCGCTTGGGTAAGCTGAGAAGTACATGTGAAATGGGGAAACCAAAGCACTGGAGGGTAAGRACACACCTGCATCAGACAATGTGGTGCTGTGCAAAGATATTTAACATGGCTATATATTTATTCCGAGAAAAAGCTTTTATCCCTRCTGGCACATCACTAGGCCAGTCAGACAATTCAATCATTTGGGCATATCTTAKATACCAAGATGACTTGTGTCATGGAGTGCAAACATGCCCTACACATCTCTGTGTTCTGCTTTTGTTGTTGAAGAGCCATGTACTTTCTCACATTGTGTTGCCACAGTGATTTTTATTTACAACTAAGTAAAATCGAGGCTCAGCTCTGASAGTAACTTTATTACCTCTATTTTCCCTGTTCTGCTTGTATGAACAGAAATGTGTGCTTTTTTCAGCTTTGCATTTCTTTCAGTAACCATTTTCTGATGTGCTTAAGAACAGGAAGAAATATTGCCCTAAACTACAAGGGATGCACAGCCCTTTAAAAGCTATTGGATATGCCTTTTTTTTTTTTTTTTTTTTTTTAATTTATCAAAGATCTTAAGTGGATTTCCATGCTATTGAATTTTGTTTAAATAACAATAATACATTCAATTAGCTTCAGTTGGTGGAGCAAAACTGAGAGTTCACATTCTGGGTTTTCAGAAAGAAAATATGACCTAACTAATTGCATTAAAATTTGCTTTAAARATATGCTCTTAGGCTATTTTAGTTCTGAATGATTTTTTTTTTAAGTATCTGAGTCATCGAAGCCTGACAACATGACAGAACATGAACGGCAGCAGCATGCTAAAACAGGACCTCCCRTGGCAAAAGAGCCATTCCTCTCTGCAGAGCTCTCAAGGGAGGAGGAAGAGGAAGAAGAGAAGCAGTGTTGTAAATACAAAGTG